ACAAAGTTTTTTTCGACCAGACGGAGTAATAGGCTTCGCTCGTCGCTCAGCCAAAAACTGGTCGTCATTAAAATTTGCCCCTTAGACATGAGAAAAGAAATGTACCTTCCTTTTTAAGGAGAGAGGGGGTAGATTTTCCCCACTTTGCTATTAGAGGCCTTCTTCTACAACTTAATGTCGACGCGTCCGTGCAACAATATCCTATCTGTTTCGCTGCCCCGAAAGACTAGCCTATCTGTTTCGCTGCCCCAAAAGACTAGCCTATCTGTTTCGCTGCCCCAAAAGACTAGCCTATCTGTTTCGCTGCCCCGAAAGACTAGCCTATCTGTATTTCGGCGCTCTCTGCAGCGCTGTCTTCTTTTCACTGTGGGTTTGCCAATATTAACAGTAGTAAAAAAGTGAACACTGCTGCGTGTTCCTTGAAGATCAAGGTACAAATGGCAATTTTTACTTTTGTTCTACCGTTAATATTAGCAAACCTACAATGAAAAGAAGACAGCGCTGCAGAGAGCGCCGAAAAACAGATAGGCTAGTCTTTCGGGCAGCGAAACAGATAGGATATTGTTGCACGGACGCGTCGCTGTTCACTACAGCAATTTTTAGCTTATTTTCGTCAAAAAGGACCCTCCAGCGCCCAAACCGTGAGAGATTGAGCTAAACGGCCAAAATTTTAGCCAAGGGCTCTACTTGAGCGGGTCACCCCTTCGGGAATCAATGAAAAATATTTTCTTCGAACTTTTTAGACCTACCCCATTTCCTTTGATACCCCCTTTCAGCCCGTTACGGTTGGTTGCCAGGATTTGCCGTAGGCGTTTCGTTTTCTTGGAGTGAACCTAAGGTACCTTGAAAATTTGAAGTCTCTGGCACATCTCCTTCTAGTAGAACAGACAGACACACGGACAGACACGAGGTCGTTTGCAGAAGCCCGCTACATAGCTTTCCTCAAGCAGAAGGGCGGGCTAAAAATAGTTCATATACTCACTATGAAGTGTAATTGCTGTTTTGCAGCTGCATCCTCGTGAATCTCGGTACTGCAATCGCCAAGAAAAACGAAGCCTAGAAGGATATTAAGTTATGTGTATATAACTGTAAAAACTGTTGGGAATTCTACCATACGCATGTATGGGAAATTTCCTGTACATCGTATTGGAAGTGAAAATTCCTCTAAAAGTATAGGAAACGTCCCCTTTGGGGAGATGTGTACGGGAAAAGTACGAAGTGTATAGGAAAACCTCCATAAATGTATGGGAAAATTCCGATACGTGTCTAGTAGGCATCTTTTCCTTCACATGTACAGGTAATTTACTAGATGTTGACAAATTTCTCATACTTTGTGAGGAATTTTAAAAACGGGTAGGGTTATGCATATCTTTCTACCTTACACATCGTGGTCTGCGCGGTCATTTCCTGACCACTCTAAAAACAATTAATACAAAGATCTGTAATTTGGATATGCAGTTTTGCAGATATGCAGCATCTGTGATGCAAAAAATTGTATTCTTTCGGATACAAAAATAAATCTGTAATACGGATACAGAAGAAAATACCGAAAATACGTTAATGTTCATGCTCTGATAAAGAAGAAAAATAGTTTTTTCCTAGCGGTGGTGTCACTTTGTGATGCTGCTCACTCATGACAGGCAATTAACTGAAAGTTGTACCTGACCTAACCGGGATTCGAACCCCGAACCTGTGGGTTGGGATATGATGCCTTAGCCCATGCGGCTAAGGTGACTACCTGCGGGCAATCATGCCGGTGGTGTGATTCTTACCCATTTACTTGCTTGCCCATGCGCCTTTCCCATAGCCATTTGAATGGAATTTCTATCTGAATGCTTTAGATATAGATCTTGTCATAGATGGTGCAAGAGTCAGTCTAACAGCTACTGAAAACATGCTCAAATTGACCGTTAAAACAGTGACGTTTTGAACGCACAAATAGATTTCTGTTTCCACGTTACAAAAATGTGTATCCCGTTTACAGAAATTTATAATCAGAATACAGAAAATTGCAAAGTTAATAAAAAATAGAAATTACTAAGAAATTTTGTGTTGTTTACAAATATGTATAAACTATTACAAGATTTTGTATCACCGATGCAAATTGCTGTTTCACAATGCCTGAATACAGAAAACTGTAACAAATTTGATTCAGAAGTCTGTAAATTTTCTTAGATTGATCTGACTTTTGACGCCTGACGCCACACCACATTTGGTTGGACACATTGGGTGTTTGTTTACTGGCAGTTTGAACGCTGATAGTAGAATTTCAAGTCAGGGCAGGCATTAATATTCAAAACTCGACATCAAAACATCTTGGAAGAAATCCCTAGTGTCGTGGGCCTGCCCCGGCACCGCGCCGACACCTGGCTAAGTGCCCGTGGTCGAGTGGTCAGCGTGACGGGATCGCAAGTCAGAAGTCCGAGATTCAACTCTCCATCCGGTAAGGTGTTTCATCATTACATCAACAACGTAAGTTTATCACATTTCTATGTGAACGTACTTGTAAATACTTGTATGCTGTATGGGTGACAATGTCTACCCGCTTAAATCTTAATTTTGGACTAAGATTCGGAAAAATGCGCTTACAGTTGTTTATGGTTCCTCACCTATAAATTAACTCTTACCGAGGGGTCTGCAACTCGCCTCAGCCGTGTACTTTTGAGTATAGATTATAAGGATTATAGCGTGATTATAAGATTATTGAAT